GGCATGGCGAGTTTTTTTAAGTTGTAATTTTTTTGTCATAATTTTTCGGAAAATGAAGAAATTAAAAAAATTATTTTCACAATTGTTTTACATACTGTCACCAGTGCAGTACAATGTCAGCATATAACTGGCGTGGCGGTTATCAGGGACACTGACTGGTGACAGTAGAAAAAAAAATTGATAATTTTTTTTTCAAATTTGTTTTATTTTTTTTATTTTATTACATTTTTTCTCTTTTTTTAAGATTTTTTTTCATATTACACTATGACCAAAGTAGTATAATATAGTAACATTGTACTACTTTGGGGAAGTGATCAGTATTTTTTTTTTTTTTACACAATTTGATTATAGCAAAGAATTTCTTTGCTATAAGCAAGCATTTAACTGAATGAAATTATTTCATTCATGTTTATTTTGTTGTGATTAGCTGTGATTGGCCATGGCTAATCACATAACACAGATGGGCTGTGATTGGCCCAGCCTGTGTATGTGATCGCTGTGACCATTCACAGCTAGTCACACTAGTATACAATGGATGGCATGAAAGAAAGCCATCCATTGTATACAAATGTCATGTGACCTGCTGTGATTTGTCACAGCAGGTCACATGGTACTGGCAACGGGGCCGGTACACAGATCTGTCATCGGCCATGTCCAAGGTACACGGCCGGTGACAGATCTCGCTACAGCTCAGCCATGTGGGCACATGCAAAGTGCGATCCGGGAAGGACGTCATATGGAGAGACGAGGTGTTTGCTTGGCCGTCATTTGCCGGGCGGCAAGTGGTTAAATACACTAAACAAACTGAAGCCAAATTCCAGCTCACACTTCATAAAGTGGGATAAAGGTTTTACAGGAATAAATAAAAGCTGATTATTTTAACCACCCCTGTCAGTGGTAAATGGATTGTGTCATCCATGTAAACTGATACATTCTTCAGGAGAGCTTGAGCTTCTGGAAAACAACAGACTTACTGGTCAGATCACCGAATGAAAATAGAAGAATGAAAGCCTAAAAAAGAAAACTAATGCAAACATCATTATCTAAGAATTGGTAGGCTGTAATATAATAAATGTTTGCTTTTTGGGTTTAATATCGCTTTAATAACAAATAATCCTTCAGTGTGTCATTTATCTCTTCTTTTCTACATAATTGTTGTCTTTCAACATGGATACACAAGAATATCATTTCAGGCAACACAATAGAGAAGGAAATGACTTTCTCACACCATATACAGTACATAACAGGAGCTGGTTTTGGCATAGTTCTTTGAAGATGTATAATCTGTCATTTTTGTGTTAACCACTTGCCCTCCAGAGGATTTACCCCCCTTCCTGACCAGGCCATTTTTTGCTATACAGCACTGCGCTACTTTAAACTGACAATTGTGCGGTCATGCAAACACTGCACCCAAATCTAATTGATATATTTTTTTCACACAAATACAGCTTTCTTTTGGTAGCATTTGATCATCACTGGGTTTGCTATAAAAAAAATAGAAAAATTTAAACAAATAAAATGTCTTCATAAATTTAGGGCAAAATGTATTCTGCTACATGTCTTTGGTGAAAAAAAATACAAATAAGTGTATATTAATTGGTTTGCTTGAAAGTAATGGCATCTACAAATGGCGGTATATATACTGGAATTTTTTTTTTAAATTCTAGTAATGATGGCAATTGTATGACGGGCATTCTGACACTAACTGACACTGGGTGGGAACTGACTAACTGACATTGACATCCCCAGAGACACTAATGCAGGCCATAGATGGGTGAGAAAATCGGCCGATTTTTCGGCCGAAAATAAAATCGGCCGATTTTCGGATCGTTAGTGGGCTATTTGGTCGGCCGTTTTTTCGGTATTTTGGCCGTTTTTTTTTTTCTGTAAAGTTGGAAAAAAATCGGCCGATTTTGCCGATCGGCCAATTTTCGCGGCAATTAGTGGGCAAATCGGCCAATTTTTTGCCGATAAAAAATCTGCGCATGAGCAGTGACCTGCAAGAGGAAGACAAAAAGAAGAAAAAGAAGAAGAGGAAGAGGATGAAGAAGAGGATGAAGAAGAAGAAGAAGAGGAAGAAGAAGAGGATGAAGAAGAAGAGATGAGAAGAAGAAGAAGAGGATGAGGGTGAGGAAGAAGAGGATGAGGATGAAGAAGAAGAAGAAGAAGAAGAAGAAGAAGAAGGATGAGGATGAAGAAGAAGAAGAGGATGAAGAAGAAGAAGAAGAGGATGAGGATGAAGAAGAAGAAGAAGAAGAAGAGAGAAGAAGAAGAAGAAGAAGAAGAAGAAGAGGATGAGGATGAAGAAGAAGAAGAAGAAGAAGAGGATGAAGAAGAAAAAGAAGAGGAGGATAAGGATGAAGAAGAAGAGGATGAGGATGAGGATGAAGAAGAAGAAGAAGAAGAGGATGAGGATGAGGATGAAGAAGAAGAGGATGAGGATGAGGATGAAGAAGAAGAAGAAGAAGAAGAGGATGAGGGTGAGGAAGAAGAAGAAGAGGATGAGGATGAAGAAGAAGAGAGAAGAAGAAGAAGAGGATGAGGATGAAGAAAGAAGAAGAAGAGGATGAAGAAGAAGAAAGAAGAAGAGGATGAGGATGTAGAAGAAGAAGAAGAGGATGAGGATGAAGAAGAAGAGGATGAAGAAGAAGAAGAAGAGGATGAGGATGAGAAGAAGAAGAAGAGGAGGAGGAGGAGGATGAAGAAGAAGTGGATGAGGATGAGGAAGAAGAAGAGGAGGATAAGGATGAAGAAGAAGAGGATGAGGATGAATAAGAAGAGGATGAGGATGAAGAAGAAGAAGAAGAGGACGAGGGATGAGAAGAAGAAGAAGAAGAAGAAGAGGATGAGGATGTAGAAGAAGAAGAAGAAGAGGGTGAGGATGAAGAAGAAGAGGATGAGGATGAAGAAGAAGAAGAGGATGAGGATGAAGAAGAAGAGGATGAGGATGATGAAGAAGTAGAAGAAGAGGATGAGGATGAGGAAGAAGAAGAAGAAGAGAAGAAGAAGAAGAAGAAGAAGAGAGGATGAGGATGAAGAAGAGGAGAAGAGAGAGGAGGATGAAGAAGAAGAAGAAGAGAGATGAAGAAGAAGAGGATGAGGATGAAGAAGAGGATGAGGATGAAGAAGAGGATGAAGAAGAAGAAGAGGATGATGATGATGAAGAAGAAGAAGAGGATGAGGATGAAGAAGAAGAAGAAGAGGATGAGGATGAAGAAGAAGAAGAAGAAGAAGTAGGATGAAAATAAGAAGAATTCCAGTTCAGCAAAAAGTGTCTCTGCAGAGAGCTCCGCTATTTCTGACAGTTCTCTGACAGTTCTTTGACATTTACAGCGGTTGCAAACAATGTATCTATTTGTTTCCGAATAAAAACATCTGTATCCTAAATGGAAACAAATAGATACAATGTTTCAACCGCTGTAAATGTGAAGGAACTGTCAGAGAACTGTCAGAAATAGCGGAGCTCTCTGCAGGGACACTTTTTGCCGGCTGTAGAAGGGATGAAAATCGGCCGATTTTTTTTTACCATTGATGGTAACGTCGGCCACTTGAACGACCGAATTTTTTTCGTTTTTTAAAAGAAAAATCTGCCATTTTTCTCCCCATCTATGGCCTGCATAATACAGTGATCAGTGCTAAAGAAAAAAACACTGACACTGGGCAGGAAGGGGTTAATGTCTGGGGCGATCAATGGGTTAACTGTGTGCTGGCTTTTATCTGCTTGTTTGCAGAGAGATACAATCCAGCTGACAGGAGAGAGATCCCTTTTTTTTATACTCACAGATCTCTCTCCTGTCAGCTACTCCACTAATTGTCGAGTGATTGACACCTACAGGAGCCAATGACGATATGATTCCAGTGTGGGGAAAAAAAAGGGTCTTGCCCCTTTCCTGCGGGTGTAATTCTGCAATTTGAGCCATACAAAAGAAATGTGGTGCAATCCCTGTCCAAAACACAGGCCGTTCCCTGCACGGCATCAGTGTGAACCGGCCCTTAAAAACTTCATCTTTTATTTACTCAGGTTATCTTTGTGTAATATTACAATGTGTTTGATGATCTGAATCACTGAAGTGTGACGAATATACAATATATATATATTAGAAAGGGGGCAAATACTTTTTCACATCACTGTGTAATGGCAACTTTGAGAATACCAGGTAAAACTCGGACACGAACTTGAGGAAAACAAACCTTTTATTAATCAGCGCTGAGTGACCTAGCAAGGACTCATGTCAGCAAGCTAAATGCCTTGAAAAGCATCTCACAGGGTATACATCTCAGCAATTATGTCACAATGCATATATTTTCTCTTTCGCTTTCTGTACATTCAAAAGACTTTCTAAACAGTGCAGAATATGACCTTGTGGTTTCACATATAAACTCTCTTCAGCTAAACATAAGGGTACCAGGTGCAGATTGGAACAAACAAGGGAGGGGGGAGTGAGCTGATAACTTTGCTGTTCAAACAGATGCTGTTAGAAATGTTAAAACGTAAGGGCAACTCTACAATATTTGGGTGCTGCCACAACTGTACAGGTCTGTGCACTTTTAAGAGCTGACCAGTTCAAGACATTTTGAATGAAAAAGAGTACTGCCCATCTGCCTGAGGGGAAACAAGGGACTTCCTGCAGGCTCTAATGATAACAAAAACACACAGTGCCCCAGGTAGTCGGAGTCATGTGACCTCTGTCTAGGCTGACAATGACAGGACTGAGAATCTTCTTATGGCAAGAAAGGGTGGGCTCCTGTATTCAGAAATGTGTTTTTTTGGTCGTTATTAGTGATTTTCTAATCATTCCTCCACTTTATTGCCACATGGAGGCAGACTTTGTTACTTCCATTCTAAAGCCCCTGGTGTAATAAAGGTCATATACGATAAAAAATACATAGTGTTTTCCCCTCCACCCTGCACAAGGACAGAGGCGCTCTCTGCAGCAATGCGCAGGCGCAAGACACGGCAGCGACTACATGTCCCGGCAAGCATTGCCCTACGCCGTCCAGTCCTGCACACGCTCAGTGGAGGCCCTCGGCTATCAGGCAACGGACTCAGTGTCCCGGTATGCATTGCGGCTGTCCTCCTCCCACACAGCGGGATTACTGCAGAGATGGCTGCCCGCATAGCATGTCTGGTGAGGAGGCTTCACCCGGAAAGGACGGGGATCCGGAGGATGCTGTGTACTGGAGGTGAGGCCCCCGGTCACAGGGCAGGCGAGGTGGGGGGTTGGTGTCATTCACCTATAGAGCCAGATATACTGCATTGTCACACAGACACTGTCATTTATTGTCATAGGAGGGGGCAGTGACATCTGATTACTAGGTAAGTGAACTGAAGAGCTGACACTCTAGTGATGGCTGGGTGTATACAAAGTGTGACCTTCAGGAAGTCCCAGACACTCAGTGTGGTCCACCACAAGGACGAGGGGGCGGGGACTATGAATGAGGGATGGGAAGTCCATTGATAGCTCCGCCCCCTCCATTCATAGATCGCTCTTCATTCATAGGGGCTGTGACCTGGCTTCTATGAATGGAGGAGGGGAGCATTGATGGAGAGCCTGTGACAGCGCCTGCACTTCTATTAACCCTCACCACACCAGAAGATTATGGGGGAACATCAAAGGAAGACAATTTCTACTTAACCAATTGCCCTCCTGAGGATTTACCCCCTTCCTGACCAGGCCATTTCTTTTTTCGTTCCGACACTGCAAATTGTGTGGTCATGCAATTCTGCACCCAAACAAAATTTACGTCCTTTTTTTTTCTCACAAATGGAGCTTTTATTTGATCGCCTGTGCATTTTTATTTTTTGAGCTATGAACAAAAAAAGACCGACAATTTTGAAGAAAAAAATATATTTTTGACTTTTTGCTATTAAACATGTCCAGTAAAAAAAAATCAAATTTAGTCATAAATGTAGGTCAAAATGTATTCTACATGTCTTTGCTAAAAAGAAAATCCCAATATGTGTAAATTAATTGGTTTACGTGAAAGTTATAGCGTTTACAAATGGCGGTATAGATACTGGATTTTTTTTTAATATACTAGAAATGGCAGCAATCAGCAACTTATAGTGGGACTGCGGTGGGCATTCTAACACTGGTGGGAACTGACTAACTGCCACTGACATCACTGACACTAATACAGTGATCACTGTTAATAAAAAGCACTGACACTGTACTAAAGACACTGGGCAGGAAGGGGTTAACATCTGGGGCATTTTGTGTGTGTGCTGTTTTACTATTTTGTCTGTGTGTTTTACTGTGTAAGTATGCTGCTTTGTATTGCTCTGCTATGCAGAGTAATACAAAGCAACACGCTGGTGCTGACAGGGGAGAGAGCTGTATTGTGTTCCTCGGCAATCGCCGGGTGCCAGCAGGGAATATCCACCTGGGACCTGGTGATCGACACCTGTGGCTGCCAATGGCAAAATCAGGTATATATATGTGTGTGTGATGGTGAGCCCTGCTGCACTACTTCTGCTATAGGGCAGTCAGGAAGCGGTTAAATAAGATTCAGCAGCACGGGACACATCACACGGATCGGAACATCCCTTAGGTGAGCTTCTGTAGATCAAATTGCTGAGAATGTTAAAGTGGTTGTAAAGGCTCATTCTATGTATGAAGGTAAAAAAAAACACCTGTGTGCAGCAGCTCCCCCAGCCCTCCTAATACTTACCTGAGCCCCATTGCAATCCAGCGATGTGTACGAGAGCCTCGACTCTCCAGGGACCTCCCTCCTTATTGAGATAGCAGCGGGAGCCATTGAGCCAATAAGGATAGAGATCGGGCCGAGCTGCTGCTGTGTGTGTGTGAATGGACATGCAGAGCAGCGGCTCAGAAACGAGCCTGATTGGGTGCCCACCATAGAAAGCTGCTTGCTCTGGGGGCACTGGACAGGAAGGAGGGGCCAGGGGCACTGGTGGGGGACCCAAGAAGAGCAGGATCTGGACTCCTGTGTTCAAAAACCACTGCACACAGCTGGTAAGTATGACGTGTGTTTGTTTGTGTGTATATATATATTTTTTTTTATTGCCTTTAACCCTTCACCTACAATGCACTTATACCCCCTTCCTGCCGAGGCCAATTTCCAGCTCTCAGCACTGTCACACTTTGAATGACAATTGCGTGGTCATGCAACACTGTACCCATATTACATTTTTATCATTTTTTTGTGACAGATAGAGCTCTATTTTGGTGATATTTAATCACCTCTGGGTTTTTCATTTTTTCTTAAACCAAAAACCGCTGAAAATTTTGAAAACATTTGGCACTGATGGACACTGACAGGTGCCACTTCTGGGTCCGCACTGATCATCAGTGCCCTGACAGCTGGCGTCAAATCCAGGTAAGTATGAATCTGTTGGGGAGCTGTTAGTAAGGTATAGTAAGAACATAGCACATGGAAAACAATTGATTTTAGTGTTTAGTTTTATGAATGGGGTACAGACTTCTTTCCTGGCAGTGGTCTGCAGGGTTTATGGGCTTGTTCACATGGGTGGTGAGGGCAGCTTGGAGGCAGTAAAAGCAGGCGGTGGAGCCTTGGTTTTACTGACCCTTGACTGCCCACCTGAAGGGCTGTACACATTGTGCAGCAAAAATTAAACCATGTGTTGCATTTGATGGGCAGTACTACGGCTGTCAAACGAGACTCAACTGCAACACATGCAGGTATGGATCAGTGGTTCAGCCTTTTTAAATAAAAAACAGGTGATGGGGATGTGACATATCACTTCCTCACCGTTTGTCAAACACCCTCTAACAAGGGTACCACCACAGATCGCTTTTTAGAGGGGCAACAAGGTCCTTGATGCACATGAGAACAAGCCCAAAGACATGAGAACTGCTCTGTAGAGCTCCTTATTTGTGCAGAGTGTGTAACATCATCCAGAATTGTGATGTCATGTTTGTCCCTTTTTTTTTTTTTCCTTTTTTTTTATATCAGCCAGCAGTTTGGTGAGCAGACCTCCTGTGTTCACAGATCCAGAAGTACAGAGCATACTGAAGAAGATGACTGGTCTGGTTCTGGAGAAAGTTTTCCAGCCGGGGAAGCAAAGCGGTATACCACCCACATACAAGTTAATGACACAAGAACAATTTGAAGAGGTATGTGTAAAAATGAAAAGTCCCTTGCAGTGCTGGCTCCATGAACTCCGAGAGCAGTGAGTGTTAGGCCTGTTGGACATGGGAGTAACAAATGCTGAGTATTTTACTGATCTGAAATATGTATTGTTGTCTATGGGACTATGCACACAGCTGAGTAAAGATTGGTAATACAGCATTGACTATAGTAAAACAAATATAGAACATTTTTCATTTTAGTGCAGTAATTTTACTTGTTTACATGAGTATACAGTGAGGAACAGAAGTATTTGAACACCCTGCGATTTTGCAAGTTCTCCCACTTAGAAATCATGGAGGGGTCTGAAATTCACATTGTAGGTGCATTCCCACTCTGAGAGACAGAATTTAAAAACAAATTCAGGAAATCACATTGTATGATTTTTAAAGAATTTATTTGTCTTGCAGTGCTGAACATAAGTATTTGAACACCTGAGAAACAGCAAGAATTCTGGCTCTCAAAGACCTGTTACTGTGCCTTTAAAAAGTCCACCTCTACTCCACTCATTAATCTAACTTAGTAGCACCTGTCTGAGCTCTTTAAAAACACCTGTCCCCACCCCACAGTCAGTCAGCCGCCAACTACTACAAATACCACACAGGCAGAACAAGCAAACTCCTTGCCTTTAGTTCCATGGTTGGGATTTGAATTGGTAACCCTAGGGCTGCTAGGCAGAAGTGCTAACCACTAAGCCACAATACTGACTGCATATATATATATGTTAGTCTGTTTAATAATCACATTTTACAGGAACAGGTTAACTCTTTTCAAGAAACAGGTTGACTCTTTGCAACGACATTTCCAGGCTTGCCAACAAAGGTATTTACTATAGCACTTTAAAAAAAACGACAGGGTGAAGGCAGTTTTCAGTTTTCCTGGTCTGCGCATGCTCAGTCGTCCCACTACTGAGATTTCTGAACTAGGTGAAGTCAATGCCTGTTTGGATTTTTTTAAATATATCACTTTATACAGACAAATTTACAATTCTTGTAAAGCAGTTATTTTTAAAAATGTCAAACATATGTATAGGTAATATAAATTGCTTGAGATCATGTCATTAAAAAGTTTTTTCACTGCTGTTGACCTGGTTCTAAGAGGTGAACATATTTAGACAGTCTCTAAGTTTTGTGACCATCAGTAAATTCCGAATGTGTCTATTTTTAAGAGTTCTTTAGTAAATCTCTTCTTAAAGTAGTCGGTCATGCAGGGAACTGCAACCATTTGCAGATAAGGTGATTTAGTAAATCAATCCCTATATGCCTTGAGGGAACGTTTTCACGGCTTTTGCCCTATGGCAAGATGCATTATTTAGAAAAATGATGTCATCATCACCAAACATCCTTTCAATTGGTGTGGAATAAGAAAGGTGTCCAAAATCGCAATATAAACTTGTGCATTTATTGGAGATTTAATGACTGTCCTCTCCCCCATACCTTTACCTGACATGCAACCCCATGGGGGGCTTTGTAGCTCTGGGCCCCCTGCTGCTCTAGCCTGCTAGTGACCCACAACCAGATTTCACTGTGGCTGAACAGAGAGGGGAGGATGCAGGAAAATATATTTCAAGATGGTTAGTCCCTTCGCCAAGAATGAGGTTGAAGCCAAAATGGTTGAACTGCGTCCATCTCTGATGCGCACTTTTGCGACAGGCATAACTACAGATTTAGAAAAATTTACAGAGAGACCTGATATGGATGCAAAATCATTCAACAGTGAGCATGAATTAGGCAAGGATACTAATGGGTTAGTAAGAGCATGACATCAGCATACATACATAACTTAAATTGAGAGACCAAGAGCGGGTACCCTGAGATATCTGGGTATGACCTTATGGCAATGGCCAACGGTTCCAAAACAAGCACAAACAGTAGGGGCGAGAGCGGGCACCCTGTCGGGTGCCTCTGCCCAGGGTAGAAAAAGTCGGAATTGCAGCCAGGCAGTCTTACCCTTTTTTGGGGGAGTTGTATAAAGCCCGTACACCAGAGAGAAATTCTTCACTAAAGCCCAATCGCTGTAATAAGGAAAACAGATGAGATCAGAGGACACTATCAAAGGCCTTATTAATGTCTAGGCTCAACAACAACTCCACCTTAGAGTGCACATTAGCATCTTGGATAACATTCAAAGTGAGAGGTACATTATCTGTAATAAGCCTGTCAGGAATAAATCCCGATTGATCAGCTAAAACTAAGAAAGCGATAATGGGGGCCAATCTATATGTTAAGATACGGCTGAAGATCTTTAAATTGTTTTTCATGACAGAAATGGGCCTGTAGTTTTGTGGTAAAAGGTGATCTTTTAAGGGTTTGGGTAACAATGACATGTTGGCCAAAAGCATCTCGTCAGGAAACCTGCCCCCTGCAAAACCTCATTAAACATAGACACCAAAGATGGCGCTAGAAGAGGGGCAAAATGTTTGTAATAACTGGCCGAGAACCCATCGGGGCCCGGAGCCGTGGAACTTTTCAATATGCTAATTATTCCTAATAATTTCCTCCAGAGTACAAGGGACATTAAGAGATGAAATCTGAGAGGGTGTAAGAGCGTGAAAAGGTATGGTATCAAGCCAAGAGACAGCAGGGATCTGCATGGTGAGGAGCTAACAGGGAGGAGTAAAACTCTTTAAAAAATTTCCAAAACTTTGTGGAGCAAAGAGCAAATATTACTGTGCTTATTACTTAATAAATATATATATATATATATATATATATATATATATATATATATATATATATATATATGGGGGACGAATTGAATGGCTACGTTTACAAGCGAACGTAGTCGACACTAAATTTCTGTGTAATAAAAAGGATGCCTTAGACCAGTGTAAAGCTTTTTCAGTTTTTTGAGGTATCCGCAGGTGCACCTTCCGAGTCCTCCCAAACCCCCCCTCCCTATCCTTCTCCTCCTTCGAGGCCCACTGCGTCCGACTATTCTCCCCAACCCCCCTGAAGATTGCTGTGATATACCGGCCTCCTGGATCCATACCCCGCTTCCTGGATGACTTCTCCTCCTGGCTACCCTTCTTCCTCTCCTCCGAGCTACCCACCATCATCCTTGGGGATTTCAACATCCCTGTCAACCTCGACAACCCGGACACAGCCCGTCTCCTCCACTTAACCTCCTCCTTTACACTTGCACAGTGCATACAATCCTCTACCCACTCCGACGGTAATATCCTTGATCTCGTCTTCTCCAACCGCTGCGCTCCCCACAACCTCACTAACGCCCCCTTCCCTCTCTCTGACCACAACCTGATCACCTTCTCTATCTCCTCGTCCTCCAACGCCTACCCCTCCAAATGTCACACTACTACCAGCCGTAACCTCCGCAACCTTAACCCTGCCTCCCTCCACTCTGCAGCTGATCAACTCCATGACAGCATCCTTCCCCTGTCCTGCCCCGACTTGGCCATGACTGCCTACAACAACGCGCTCTCAACAGCCCTTGACTCACTAGCGCCTTTAACCACACGCAATATCAGACCCCGACCGCTCCAGCCCTGGCAGACTGATCACACCAAAACCCTCAAACAACACAGTCGTGCCCTGGAGCGACTATGGCGCAAAACCAAATCCCAACAAGCCTTCACCCGCTACAAATCTGCCTTCCACACCTACACCTCCTCCCTCCATGCTGCCAAACAGGCCTACTTCTTGACCCTCATCAAGGCCCTCTCCTCCAATCCTCGCCGACTCTTCTCCGCCTTCAACTCTCTACTCTCTCCACCCCCACCTCCACCCAGCACCTCACTCACTGCCCTTGAGATTGCCAATCACTTCAAAAACAAGATTGACACCATTCGCAAGGACATTGCCGCAACTCACACACCCTCTCAACCCTTCCCCTCTCACACAGCTACCCCCTTATCCCCCCTCCCCCTCGACATAACCCGCAGGGACTTCGTCGCTGCTCAAACTCTCTCCAACCCCCTTCACCCTCACTCAGCTACCCCCTCATCACCCCTCTCCCACGGCCTCACCACTGCTCTGACCTCCTCTTCCACCCCACCCTACATTCCTCATACTCCGCACCTTTGACCTTACTACCTACCATCGAGGAAGTCTCCAAGATCCTCTCTGATGCCCGCCTCACCACCTGCCCCCTCGACCCTATCCCCTCACAACTCCTACGACCTCCTTCCCCCTCCATCCTACGCTCCCTCACCCACATCTTCAATCTCTCCCTCTCCTCCGGCACTTTTCCCTCCCCTCTGAAAAACATGCACACATCACCCCCATACTTAAAAAGCCCTCCCTGGACCCCAATGACCCGAACAACCTCAGACCCATCTCCCTGCTCCCATTTACATCTAAACTCCTCGAGCGCCTAGTCTACACCCGCCTATGCTCTCACCTCAACGACAACAACCTCCTCGATCCCCCTACAGTCTGGCTTCCGTCCCCTACACTCCACCGAAACTGCCTTACTCAAACTCTCCAACGACCTGCTAACCGCCAAAGCTAATGGCCACTATTCAGTGCTCCTACTCCTTGACCTCTCTGCGGCCTTCGACACAGTCGACCACCCCCTCCTCCTCAAAAAACTACACTCCCTCGGCCTCAGAGATTCTGCTCTCTCCTGGCTCATCCTACCTGTCACAACGCTCCTTCAGCGTTACCTATAATGCTACCACCTGCCCCTCACTCCCCCTCTCTGTTGGGGTTCCTGTCCTCGGGCCCCTTCTCTTCTCCATCTATACCTCCTTGGCCAACTCATACACTCTCACGGCTTCAACTACCACCTCTATGCCGACGACACACAAATCTATCTCTCAACCCCCCCCACCTCACCCCCCTGGTCACAGCCCAAATCACACACCTACTGAGCGACATATCAGACTGGATGTCACTCCACTTCCTTAAATTGAACCTCTCCAAAACCGATTTTCTTGTCTTTCCCCCAGCCCAGACACCACCCCCCATTGACTTCTCCGTCACATCCAACAACGCTACCATCAAACCCGCCCTGCAGGCCAAAGTAC